CCACAACAAGACCTCGGTATTTATTCTGATTCTTATTATCATGTCTTTTTATTTATCAATTATCCTTTATTTATATTGTTCATAATTGAATGTGTGAGTATTTATCATTTATTTTATTTAATATTTGAATTAATTTGTCTCGTGTCTTGTGGTTGGGCTATCTAGGCAAGAAATCGGACGTGCGCGTGCTGCTCAGGCCGGCGGTGGCGCGCTGCAGGACAAGACCAAGGAGTGCGCGACCTGGCGGAGGAGCTCCTGATGGACCTCTTTGCGCGCGTCGACGTTGAGTCTATCCGCACGGTCTGCAAGGAGATCCAGCAAGCCGCCGTCAGGCAGCAGGTGGTGGCCCTCGCCAAGAAGGCCCGCGGGAGCGTCAGCGCCAGGTTCGACCCCTCCCAGTAGCGGCTGAGTTCGGGCGCGCGCGTGTGTGTGTTGTAGCCTAACCGCCACACCGTGTTCACTCTGGATAGTGGCAGCAGCGTCGGGAGCACCACGTCATCGAACGACGGCAGCGAGAAGAGCGTGGCGTCGTCGGCGTCGAGCAGGAGCACGGGCTCGGTCGCTCCGGGCTCGGTGAAGCCACCGCGCAGCAGCAGCACCACGAAGACGACCACCACCGACAAGCCCTCCGCCACCACCACCGCCTCCAGCTCCACTGAGGTCCGCACGCGTCGGACGTCAGCGACCACCGCCCCGAGCAGCCTCAGCCGGGAATCGAAGCCGCAGCTGACGAGAAGCGAGGCCATAACGCCGCTCGTCGCCAACGAGGACAAGGCCAAGCGCAGCGCCAGGACAAGGACCACATCACCGTCGGCGCTGACGACCAGGCCCGCGGCGGCGGGTGGAGCTTCAAGACTGCGCCCAGGCCCGAGCACGCGCAGCACCTGCAGCAGCAGGCCCGGCCCTACCTGGGCGAGGCCCTCCATGCCAAGATGTTCTCCCGCGACTTCCGCAAGCACCGCGAGGCCCTCCAGGAGCTCACGGCGGCGGTCGAAGACCACCCCGCGGCGACCCAGCAGAACGCCGACCTGCTGCTCAAGTGGGCCTCGCTGCGCCTGTTCGACGCCAACACCTCGACGCAGGCCAAGACGCTGGCCTTGGTCGAGCACCTCTTCCGGCGCTCGACACCAACGACTACCACCTCACCGACTACGAGGCCGGCGTCATCCTGCCGGTGCTTCTCGAGTGCATGGGTCAGGGCGAGGCCATGCAGGAGGGCATCGGCGCCCTGCTCAAGCTCGTGCCGCGGGTCTACCCCTCTAGCAAATTCTTTGCATTCCTGCTTCACACCGGCCTCCTGGGCTCCAAGTCGCCCCGCACGCGCGCCGAGTGCCTCGAGCTGATGGCGGGCCTCGTGCGCCGGCAGGGCCTCGCCGCCGTGTGCCCCAGCCCATCCGCGGCCTTCCCGCACATCGTCCAGTTCGTGACCGACAAGGTGCCGGCCGTGCGCAACGCCGCGCTGGCGATCATCCAGCAGGCCCACCTCCACGTCGGCGACGACCTGTGGCTCTACACCGGCAGTCTCAACGACACCCAGCGCGCCCTCATCAACCAGAAGATGGGCGGCGGCGCCGGCGCCGGCAGCGGCTCGGCGTCTCCGCTCCGTTCGTCGAGCTCCGGCGTGGTGCAGCCGTCGGCCGTCAAGAAGGTGATGCAGCACAAGGAGGAGGAGAAGCGGAGAAGCCGCTCCTCGTCGCCATCGGCGACCGCGCACAAGGCCAAGGCCGCCGCCACGTCGTCGTCGTCGTCGTCGGTGGGGTCGCTGGGCTCCAGCAAGACCGTCGTCGGCGTCCGCACCAGCAGCCGGGCGACCGCGAGCAGGTCCTCCAGGCCCGCCAGCGACGATGGCTCGTCGCCGGGTCCGTCCAGCGCCGCGCTGCAGCCGCTGCCGCAGAGCTTCAGCCTCGAGCTCGACAAGCTGCAGCCGGTCAAGTCAACCAAGGCCCCGCGCGCCGCGCCCGCAGCGCTGGAGCCGACCACTTCGGCCGCCGCCGCCGAGCCCACGTCAACCGCCGGCTCGTCAGTGGTGGTCGAGGCGTGGGTGAAGGATCTGGAGAGCGGCGATGTCGACAAGATGATTGCCGTGTGCAAGGCCGTCCTCGAGAAGCTCGCCGAGAGTGTGACGCCGTTCGTGGGCTGCAGCGACGACCTGGTGAAGGCGCTGGCCGGTCTGCTCAACTCGACGCTGCGGCAGAAGGACTTCTCGATCGACCGCAACCGCGAGTTCAAGTACTTTGTCAACGTGCTCTTCAAGCTCTTCACGCACGCGCCGCTGGCCATCGGCATCAGCCGCGACGCCAGCAAGTGCGTCCTGCACTCGCTCATGGTCGCCTTTGTCGATCCGCTCGTCGTCCCGCGCTCTGGTGCGCCGACACACACCGCACGCACACACACACACCCGCGCGCGCGCACACACACTCACTCGCACGCACACGCACGCACGCACACACACACACACACACACACACACACACACCGCACGCCCACTCGCACACGCACACACGCTAATAAGTGGTATGGCGGGTAGATACCGACACGGCGAACAATCTGTACAAGGGCATCCAGCTGGCGACGATGAAGGTTCTGCGCAACACCGACCAGACCGCCATCTTCACCACCCTGCTGGAGATGGTGGATGACAGTGCTGCTCGGCGCCGGCGGCGAGTCGCTGCCCAAGGGCTTTGCTGAAGTGCTCATCAAGGCCCTGGCCATCGCCATCCAGCACATCAAGGAGACCATCGACGAGATGAACCTCGACCAGGTCCTGCGCGACCTCAACGCCTTTCTCGAGGCCCACCACGGCCGCGCCGCCGCCGACGACGGCGACGGCGACGGCGACGGCGATCGATCAAGGCCCAGATGCGGCAGGAGTGCGTGCGCCTGTGCCAGTCCGGCGGTGAAGGAGATCGTCGCGATCAAGGGCCGGGCGGGCGTGAGCCGCCACCTGTCCCTCGTGCCCGTGACCAAGTACCCCACCCCCGGTACGCGCGCCACCATCACATCACTCCTGTGTGTGCCGTGTGTGCCGTGTGTGTGTGTGTGTGTGTGTGTCGCGTGTCATGACGTGTGCCGTGTCGTGCAGCGCTGGTGCGAGTGATCAACAAGGTGCTCAGGGACACGTTTGGGGCGGGGGGCGAGGCCATCACGGCGGCTCCGGAGGGCGTTCGGCCGGGGCAGGAAGGAGAAGAAGACGTCGACGGACACCTCGCCGCCAAGATCGAGCTGCGGCAGATCATGCAGCGACTCGCGTCCAGCGAGCGACAGCAGGCCATCAAGGTCCCTCCAGTCTCTGTTTTTTCTTCTGACACTCTTCCCTGTACTGAGACGTGTCGTGTGTGTCGTGTGTGTCGTGTGTGTCGTGTGTGTCGTGTGTGTCGTGTGTGTCGTGTGTGTCGTGTGTATCAGGATCTTTACCATTTCAAGTGCCGGCACCCGGACATCGACATCCAGCCCTACCTCGCCACGGCCACCACACAGTTCCAGACCTACGTGCGTCGTGCCCTCATGGCCGTCGAGGAGAAGGAGAACATGCCCGTCCGACCCGACCCCGCCAACGCCTCAGCCCCCGCCGTCGCCTCTTCCGGTAACCACACCACCTTCCTTCGTGTGCGTGTGCGGTTGTGCGTGTGCGTGTGCGGTCATGAACTGATCGACCAATAATGCGACAGCAGGCTCGGAGGATGTGTACATGGACAAGCTCCGCGCGCTGCAGAAGCGCTACGGCCACACGGCCGGCAACAAGCACGGAGCGGGCGCGTCGAGCAACACGCTGCTGTCGCTGGCGTCTTCCACCGACTCCACCGCCGCTTCCGCCTCCGCCGCCTCCTCCCAGCTTCCCTCCCTGGCTGGCACCGCCGCCAAACCCGGTCTCCCCTCCACCGCCAGTACGCCCGCCACCTCTTCCACCGCACACACC